CATGACAGATGAGTAAAAAATGTGACCACTAGAGTGTTAACAAGGATTATTCATATTTGAGCAGTGTGACCTTGTTTTTTACCCAGGTGACCCATATTCTAACTTGACATAGAAATCATCAAAACAAACTTTCAGACCAATTTCCAGGATACATGGATCAAAACAGTAGCCACTAGAGTGTTAACAAGATTTTTCTATTTTTAGCTCCGGTAACCTAGTTTTTCATGCGAGATGACCCATGTTCGAAATTATCTAAGCAATTAGCTAGACAAGCATCCTGACCAAGTTTGATGATGATTTTTGAGTAAAAAATTTGACCACTAGAGTGTTAACAAGGTTTTTCCATATTTGGGCGGTGTGACCTAGTTTTTCATCCGAGATGACCCATGTTCAAACTTGACCTGGAAATCACAAAAACAAACTTTCAGACCAAATTTACAGGATATTTGGATCAAAACAGTAGCCACTAGAGTGTAAACAAGACTTTTCTATTTTTAGCTCCTGTGACCTAGCTTTTCATCCGAGATGACCCATGTTCGAACTCATCCGAGCAATGACCTAGACAAGCATCCTGACAAAGTTTGATGATAATTGAGTCAAAAATGTGACCACTAGAATGTTAACAAGGTTTTTCCATATTTGGGCGGTGTGACCTAGTTTTTGACCCCAGGTGACCCATATTCAAACTTGACCTAGAAATCATCAAAAAAAACTTTCAAACCAAATTTACAGGATATTTGTATCAAAAAAGTAGCCACTAGAGTGTTAACAAGATATTTCTATTTTTAGCTCCAGTGACCTAGTTTTTCATTTCAGATGACCCACGTTTGAACTCTTTCGAGCAATAACCTAGACTAGTATCCCAACCAAGTTTGATGATGATTGAGTCAACTAGGGTGTTAACAAGGTTTTTCTATTTTTAGCTCCGGTGACCTAGTTTTTCATCTAAGATGACCCATGTTCAAAATCATTGGAGCTGTCAACTAGATAAGCATCCTGACCAAGTTTGAAAATGGTTGAGGCACAGTTGTGACCGCTAGAGTGTTAACAAGGTTTTACTATTTTTAGCTCCTGTGACCTAGTTTTACATCCGAGATGACCCATGTTCGAACTCATCCGAGGTATCTAGTAGATAAGCATCCTGACAAAGTTTGATTATGATTGAGGCAAAAATGTGACCACTAGAGTGTTAAAAAGGTTTTTCTATTTTTAGCTCCTGCGACCTTGTTTTTTCATCCGAGATGACTCCTGTTCGAACTCATCCGAGCTATCACCTAGACAAGCATCCTGACCAAGTTTGATGATGATTGAGGCTAAAATGTGACAACTAAAGTGTTAACAAGGTTTTTCTATTTGTAGCTCTGGTGACCTTCTTTTTCATTCGAGATCACCAATGTTCGAAGACATCCGAGCTATCTACTATATAAGCATCCTGACAAAGTTTGATGATGATTGAGGCAAAAATTGGACCGCTAGAGTGTTAACTAACAAGTGTGGACGGACGACGGACGACAGACGACAGACGACGGACATTCAACGATCCTAAAGCTCACCCTGAGCTAGGTCAGGTGAGCTAAAAAAACGAAATCCATTAAAACAAATCGTTGGGTCGGCGCTTGAAAATAGGGTGGGCCGGGATACATGAACCAAGATATTTTTTGGCCTAGTCATAAAATGTTTTAAGCAAGATTTATAACGATTTTTATTACTCTGGTAAAGAGGCTTATCCTTTCCAAAATATTTGTATGAAGACAGTGTACACTTTATTGATACGGTGCATTTCTTATCAGTATTTAACTATTAAAAAAGAAGTAAAGCCACATTAAAGTAAAATACAAACTATTGTAATTTTACACTTTTTAGAATTATCATCAAATTTGGTCAGGATGCTTATCTAGTTGATAGCTCGGATGAGTTCGAACATTGGTCATCTCGGATGAAAGACTAGGTCACAGTAGCTAAAAATAGAAAAACCTTGTTAACACTCTCGCGGTCACATTTTTGCCTCAATCATCATCAAACTTGGTCAGGATGCTTGTATAGTTGATAGCTCGAATGAGTTCGAACATGGGTCGTCTCGGATGAAAAACTAGGTCAACGGAGCTAAAAATAGAAAAACCTTGTTAACACTCTAGCGGTCACATTTTTGCCTCAATCATCATCAAACTTAGTCAGGATGCTTTTTTAGTTGATAGCTCAAATGAGTTCGAACATGGGTCATCTCAAAAGAAACACTTGGTCACAGGAGCTAAAATTAGAAAAACCTTGTTAACACTCTAGTGGTCACATTTTTGCATCAATCATCATCAAACTTCGTCAGGATGCTTATCTAGCTGATAGCTCAAATAAGTTCGAACATAGGTCATCTCGGATGAAAAACTAGGTCAAAGGAGCTAAAAATAGTAAAACCTTGTTAAAACTCTAGCGGTCACATTTTTGACTTAAGTGTCATCAAACTTAAAACTTAAGTGTCATCAAACTTGTCAGGATGCGTGTCTTGGTAATTGCACGGAAGAGTTCTAACATGGGTCACCTCGGCTGAAAAACTAGGTCACAGGAGCTAAAAATAGAAAAATCTTGTTAACACTCTAGTGGTCACATTTATTTACTCAATTGTCATCAACTTTGGTCAGGTATTGCTCGAATAAGTTCGAACATGGGTTATCTCGGATGAAAAACAAGGTCACTGGAGCTAAAAATAGAAAAATCTTGTTAACACTCTATTGGCTACTATTTGATCAGAATATCCTGTAAATTAGTCTGAAAGTTTTGTTTTGATGATTTCTAGGTCAAGTTTGAATATTGGTCACCTGGGGTCAAAAACTAGGTCACACTGCCTAAATATATCAAATTCTTGTTAACATTCTAGTGGTCTCATTTTTGACTCAATTATCATCAAACTTTGTCAGAATGCTTGTCTATGTAATTGATCGGACGAGTTTGAAGATGGGTCATATCGGATGAAAAACTAGGTCACAGGAGCTAAAAATAGAAAAATCTTGTTAACACTCTAGTGGCTATTGTTTTGATCCAAATATCCTATTCATTGGCCTGAAAGTTTGTTTTGATTATTTCTAGGTCAAGTTTGAACATGGGTCATCTCGGATAAAAAACTAGGTCACACCGCCCAAATATGGAAAAAACATTGTTAACACTTTAGTGGTCACATTTTTGACTCAATTATGATCAGACTTTGTCAGGATGCTTGTCTCGGTAATTGTTCGGATGAGTTCGAACATGAGTCATCTTGCATGAAAAACTAGGTCACCGGAGCTAAAAATAGAAAAACCTTGTTAACACTCTAGTGGCTACTGTTTTGATCCAAGTATCCTGGAAATTGGTCTGAAAGTTTGTTTTGATGATTTCTAGGTCAAGTTCGAATATGGGTCACCTGGGTAAAAAACTAGGTCACACTGCTCAAATATGGATAATCCTAGTTAACACTCTAGTGGTCACATTTTTGACTCGCCTGTCATGAAACTTGGTCAGAATGCTTGTCTAGGTAATTGTTCGGATGAGTTCGATTGGTCAGGTGAGCGATCCAAGGCCATCATGGCCCTCTTGTTTATAATTGCCCGCAGCTTTAACTTTTTTAATGAACATATTGTCTTCCTACTTGTCCATAACAATCCCTTGGACAAGACATTACAGTAGCATTAATTGAACTTAACCTCAATCATAATTTGACCTTTGACACTTCAGGTCACTAATAAAGTTAATTTGGCTAAATTCGCCAAAACTTTTTCATTCGTTTATGGTTTTAATTGATATTGGGACACAGAACGCTTATGATAAAACCAGTATGTTGAATAATTCAGATATGACCTTATCCTTTATTTGACATTGACCTTTAGGCCAAATTATCGAAATTTGCGTAAATTGTCATAAAATTGTTACATGTATTAACTAACAAGTTTGATTCATACTTGGACAAAAGTTTACATATGAAAAAGAAACATGTTGAATCATTCTGATATGACCTTGACCTTTAATTGACCTTGATCGCCATGGTCAAATCATTGGTTAAAATTGTCATAACATTGTTATTTTATTACAGATTATTCGTACTTAGTGAACATACACATATTACTAGCAGACATACATAATAATATAATATTATCCTGTATGTTGTAATTCAGGTTGTTACCACACTTAAGTGAAATTTTATATATGTACATGTATATAATTATGCTTATAAAACAATTTTCAAACGTCGAAGAATATGTTAAATATATACATGTACTGCAAATATTTGTCCACATTATATGTAATCATTGAAATATATGTATTATTTTCTTATTGAAAAATTTGACTTGAACTTTACAGAAAATACATTTCTAAAAACGTCCCTTTATTTACACGAAATGTTAAATTCGGTAATATCTTTTATTAATAATAATTTTTGGAACTTACAATATTGATCAATCTTAATTTGAGCATCATATTTATGATATTAAACCATAAAAAAATTGTGTTACAGGATCGTTAACACATGTGGACAAATAAACTACAGTAAGAGATTTTCATTTGTCATTTAGGGTGTTCACAATCAGTCAGTTTTGTGTTTTAGGATTTTACATTTATCAACCTCATTCTATAAAACTGTTTTATGTTCTTAGAATCCGTGATATTAAATTGTAATTCATTAAATTAAACGTGATGATGTCCAAAGGTAATTCGTATATGAATCATAATAATACCCCAAACATGATTTTTAGCAATGTTAGCACAGTAAAATTTTTATTAATGTATCCGATTACTATTACAAAAATAGGCCTACCCTATAGAATTGTGCTTAAATATTCAATTGCACGATGATTATTTTTAATTTATTTCTGGTAAAATACTATGAAGCTTAAAGGTAATATGTATATAGAATGACAAAAGTATAGCTGTCATTTTGTAAATTGCACTTGAACACATATTTTAGATTACAAACCTTTTCAAAAGAAAACAAGTACTTAAGATGTGATTCATATCATAATTATAAAAGAACTTACGGTTTTGTTTCTGTTTGTCTTTGTTTGTTTTCTTTTTTGTCCTGTTTGTCCTGCAGCCAAAGAGATTTTATACAAGTTTTTCACAACAAATACGTACTATGACTTTTCTACATAAATACTATTATTAATAACTACAAATTTTCCAGTTGGTTTTATAACATTCCAAAGTTTACGATTGAAGAAATAACTTAATTACTTCTCACAATACAAAGTACGAAATGTACTCGCAGTCTAAATATCTAAATATAGAACATAATACCCAGAACACTCAATATGTATTTTTAGAAATATGACCGCAATATTAAATTATCTTCCGGGTACTGAGTAAGTTTAAAAGACACTGAGCAGCATATTCTGTGAATATCTGTGTTTCCAGTCCATCCATTAGTTTCACAGGCGGCAAAAGTCACAGACACTTGGGGTGTGGAGCTTAAAACGCCTTTAAAATCCAAATAAAATGTATTTGTGTCAATCCCTGGTTCCCAGCACATGTAGTGATCATATATATAAAAAAAACTTAATATAAGCCGTTTTGAAAAATATTCATATTTCAACGTCTATAATAGTAGATCTACATTATTGTAATAGTGTATTATAATAGACGTTGAAATAAGATTTTTTTTTTCATTAAGTTTTTTTATATATATATATATGATCAGTACATGTGCTGGGATTGACAAATATACATTTTATTTGGATTTTAAAGGCGTTTTAAGCTCCACACCCCAAGTGTCTGTGGCAAAATTAGTAGGGGGCGAATATTGATTTACCGTGCACCAATATAATCACGATACACTCTAGAATGATATATGGAACGCCTTCTATACACTTTTCTTACGTGGGGATATTTGATGTCGTTTTGACAGATGGTGCTGTAGATTTAATATATGGTGATGTTGTTTTAAACAAGAGCTGTCGGTAGGACAGCACGCTCGACTATTCTAAGTGCTTGATAGTAAAAGAGCCTTTATAATGTTAAATTTTTTAAGTTCACAAAAGAGCTAATTTTTTTCATAAATTCATGTTATAGGCCTTAGAGAGAGTCTTATTCTACTGCACTGGACCACCTAGGGTTAATGAGATGAACATATGATCTTATCAGATGACCAAGCAGAACGCTAAAAGTATCCTATCAGAGTGGCCGCAGTTAATTTCTCTTAATTTATGAGTTTATGTGTTATTATTAGAATTAGGATTTATTCAATTATTCTTGTTAAATGGAGTAATACAATTTCGCAATAATTTTTGTAAACTGGATTAAATACCGGATTTGTTTGTAGTTTGATTTAAAGTGACAATGTTTTGGATATAACAATTGTCTTCTGCTTTTGATTTGATTATCCATTTATATTTTCATCATGGATTGCTACAAGAATGGGCAAAGTGTTCAGTTCCAGTAGGGAATTTCACTTTTTTCAAGAAGCCCAACACAGTCGCTATAACCAGTACAGTAGGTACTGAGGCGTACTGCGACGACCCCAGAGTTTGCGGACAGTAGGTCAATATAACTCTGCAACAAATATTGAAAATCTAGAGTTTGCGGACAGTAGGTCCAATATTAACTCTGCAACAGGTTAGGAAAATCTGTTTCGTCATCATGGAATGATGGACAACAGTATGAAGCCTTGGCCATCTGCAACACAGATGATTGACCTCCCAAGTTTTATACTACACTACTACTACTACAACAACAAAGACAATATTGCTTTAACTTGAAGTTAACAAGACATAGAATTAATAAATATACTGTTTAACAATTTAATTTCTTGAGCCACAAACATAACCAAATTCATGTTTCTTAGGCAAACGAAATGGACATGTCACAGCTTATAATTTATAAGACTCTTATTCTATTGGTGAAAAGATCTGCAGTGTCTCACTGTTTTAATTCTTACTTGATTAAGAAAATATCAGCTCTTACTCACAAAATATAATTCTATGAAGTTGGTTAACTGTATGATAAGTTATAATAAACAATTATTTGATTTAAAGATATAAATATGCTCAAAATTTTGTATTTTTAAATATTGATAATTGCTACACAGTCTCTTTTTAAAATATAAAAATATCCATTTTTTAAGATATCATATGTCTAAAAAAAATATACACAATTCAGAGGCAAATAAGAATGTATAGTGTCAAAAAAAAAAAAAAAAAAAAAAAAAAAAAAAAAACTGGCAGTTTTTTCTATTTAGAAAGGGTCAACTTTACTTAACCTGTAATAGGATATGCAGCTTCCCACACACAGTTTTTGTACATTCTTTTATTAAAATTAGACATATTGAGAAAAGAAATACATAGATTTCAAATAATTTCTGGGATAAAAATATTTTACTCTCAGATGAGTATAGTATATCTTTAACATGCTTTTGGGCGGATGAACATTAACTTGCATTTACAGTATCATCCTTGAACAGGCTCATTCAAACCAAGCCTGCAACATTTTCAGTTTTGCTGTTTTGGGCGTATTGTAGAGATTTTATTTGCACACAAAAATGGTTTTATATAAGAGGAATATTCTGGAGTAAGTTTTGCCTAGAAATGACAAGAACTGTGTACTCCAAATTTGTTACATAAGAGGGAATATTCTGGAGCTAGTTTTGCATAAAAATGTCAAGAACTGTGAAATGTCAAGAACTGTGTACTCCAAATTTGTTACATAAGAGGGAATATTTTGGAGCTAGTTTTGCATAAAAATGTCAAGAACTATGTACTCCAAATTTGTTATGTAAGAGGGAATATGCTGGTGCTAGTTTTGCATAGAAATGTCAAGAACTTTGTACTCCACATTTGTTATATAAGATGGAATATGCTGGAGCTAGTTTTGCATAGAAATGTCAAGAACTATGTATTCCAAATTTGTTATATAAGAGGGAATATGCTGGAGCTAGTTTTGCATAGAAATGTTAAGAACTTTGTACTCCACATTTGTGTATATAAGATGGAATATGCTGGAGCTAGTTTTTGCATAGAAATGTCAAGAACTTTGTACTCCACATTTGTTTATATAAGAGGGAATATGCTGGAGCTAGTTTTGCATAAAATGTCAAAACCGTGCACTAAAATTAGTTATCTATATAAAGTGAATATGCTAGAGCATTTTTTGCAATAAACATCCAAACCTGGGTTCTCCAAATTTGTTATATAAGATGGAATATGTTGGAGCAAGTTTTGCATAAAAATGTCAAAACCCGCGAGTACTCCAAATTTGTCATACAAGAAGAAATATGTAGAAGCAAATTTTGCATAGATTGTCAAAACCTGAATACTCCAAATTAGTTATATAGGAAGATCAAATATGCTGAAGAAAGTTTTTGCATAGAAATGTAAAAAACTGTGACTCCAAATTTGCTCTTGGGAAAACGCACCATTTGGAGCTGATCTTATGAAGGAATTGTTACTTTCTTTACGGAAAGTAAACACATATTGAATAACATTGGTTGTATATAGTGTGAGGTAAGAATAGCAGGGGCTGAGTACATATACAAGAAAGAAAACAGAATGTGAGTATACACTGTTTTTACAATACTCTAGAAACACTTCGAAATACCCTGAACATTGTAAGTTGATAACTTTCAATATTGGTACCTGCTTTAGACAGTTCAATAATGAAATTTATATTGAATAATTCTTTACCTGTATATCTCACTGACAATGTCGAATGTAAAGAACTTGCTTTCATTTTTAAGAAAATGACATGTCATTCGAAATGGAAGAACATGAAATAAGATATGAAAAGTTTTTAGTGAAGAAAATAAATATTTAATCACTCAAATATTTTTCTATCCAGAATTTTCTTCGACTGAAAGGTGTATATAGACATAGCTTAATGCATAATTAAATACATGTTTGATGTAGTTTGCATGCATTGAAATTTTTGCTCAAGCTAACTACAGTAAAACATAGAAAATAAATAAATGAATTAATGAATATAATAAAATAAACTAATAAGATGGGAAAAAAAAATCTTAGTAATCATTTGCACTTGTCTTTCACTTTGGACAAACCTACGAAAACAAATGTTTTTACCATTCATTACAATAATGATAGTTTATACAAAGCTGTACAAGTGCAGTATTTTAGATGGTTAAGATAAGGTTTTACTGTGTACATGTACTACATCTTCAGATAAATCTCTCACTGGACCCTCTCAGTGAATTGGTTTTGTTATGGTTTATCATCAGACTTATCCCTGGGAAAACAGCAGGTACTAATAACCGTGCCTGGTTTGTAGGTCAAACATATGTCTTAATTTCATTTGTTTGTTTGCAAGGAGGGGTTGCTAATTAACCTTCACTGTGTTATAATCCATGGCACTATAAATCACTCAGAGAGGGATTTGTGTCGGACCTATCAACAAAATCTTGATTGTGCTAGGGCTGTCAAAAGTGTCATTAAAATTGAAACAACAAGTTTCAATTAAAAAAATTATTATTATATCATGAAAACTGCTATTTAGTCTATGAAATATTTTCTACGGTTGATGAGCGCATTTATATTTGTAGTCTGCATGTTGATAAGTCAACTAAAAAAATGTTATAAAATTTGAAATGAAATGGCAGATTAGTTAATAATATGTCAGTATATGTAGATATGGTACAGTACTCGTCATTGCCCGGGAAAGGAAAAACACTAAGCAGTTTATTCTACCAAATGGCATGGTCATAGAATTACTTGTTTGGGGTTTTGTTTTCAAACAACTGAATAAGTAAGTGGTGATAAGAGATGCAGCCATTTGTTTTGGTAGTTTTCATTATCATTTTTTAAATAAATAAATAAATAAATTATTTGATGGACTTAGTTAACCCATTAATTGATTGATTGATTCCGAACAAAAATAATAGTATTAATAATTCAGGAAATATGAACAAATTCATTTGTTTGTTTCATTATATTCTATCCTGTATCGAGTGGAATCGAAAACGTGAACCATAGAAACATGTACTGTAACTGCAATACAGAGCTGATTTTGAAAATAATATACATATGTGTTAATTGAAGAAAACATGTAATGTGAGTTCTTCACATATATACGTCTTTCGCATTATATAATTGCGAGAGAGATGTTTGAAAGGTTAAAAAAACCACAAAAAAAAAAAAAAAAAAAAAAAAAAAAACACACACAAGTCATATGTGATACATATATGGTATTCTAATCTTTATTAGATATTTGTGATGGAAATCCGTGATACCTCTTTCTTTTAAAGAAACAGATTAAGCCTCAGAAATAATCACAATTTCCATTAGAAAAGGGGGAAAATGCATTTTATACTGTTGTCATAATGCATTAAAAACATGTGATTTACTTATAATCTAACTTTAATCTGAAATAAATATAGTGCAGAATTGAAAAAAAAAGGAATGTAAATAATATAAACGAATAAATGGCAGGTTAGGCTTAATGGGCAGATCAGTAATTTCAAAACACTGATTTTGCAAGATATCAGAATCATGCCTAAAGAAATTATAAATTAAAAGCATAAATGTGTTGCTTTTAAACCATAGAAAACTTCGAATATCACTACATGTGAAAGAATTTTATGCTACACGTATATGTGTATACCATTTAATGTCAAACTTGTTTGCAATTTTCTGTTTACAATAAGCAATATAAATTATGCAATGTAACATTGCAGGCAGGGCTATTGCAGCAAGCCTAATGACCTTTTCCGCACAGTAGAAATAGGGAATAGTATTCGTTTTAATGATTTGTTTACTTTTACAGCATTTTATGTATATGGCTATTGCATACTTTATTTGTGCATTTTTGAAAAGGTTAATAAGTCGTAGATTGAATACTTTTAATCATTTTACTTGGTTATGAATTCTTAACGACTTGTCAAAATGCGAGCATGTCTTCTAAAATCTCATTAACCCTAGGTGGTCCAGTGCAGTAGAATTAATAAATTAAACGAGACTTACCTGGAAGTTGAAGTTCAATTATTTATTCTACTGCTACTGGACCACAGGGTTTAATGCCCACCGGTTACCCCTCCCATTGTATAAAAGCCATTGTCGCATTTTGCCATTTTTATGTATGCTCTGAAAAGTCTTGCTTGGTCATCTGATAAGATCATATGTTCATCTCATTAAACCCTGTGGTCCAGTAGCAGTAGAATAATAATTGAACTTCAACTTCCAGGTAAGTCTCGTTTAATTTATTAATTATACAGTATTGGCTTGACTATTCGGAAGGTAATGTCACAAGGGTGTTTAATTGAGTAAAATAATACTAATTACCTATGAATACATAAATTTGACAGAAAAGGTACAAAGGCTTGTTATTAAGATGTTTTATCAAGTTAATCACTGCTTTATTATTATGAATGCATAAAATTGTCCCAAAAAGGTACAAACCCTTCAGTAGTTATTGAGATAACAGCTTACAAGCAAAACTTTACCATGAATTTTTAAGTTGAAAAAGGGAGAAAAATCAGCCTAAATGCAAGATAGAATTATGGATCATTGTCAGTGACCTACAATTATGACCCTAAATGCATATGTGAAGTTTTAAATAAAATATCTTTAATAGTTATTGAGATATGTAAAACTATCATGTTAACATTTAACCAAAGAGACTAAGTAGAAAAGGGGATATGAATCAGCCTTAATGCAAGATAGAGTTATGGAACTTGGTCAGTGACATACAATTATGACCATCCAATTATGACCTAAGTGCATGTGTAAAGTTTCAAGTAAATATCTTTGAAGAGACCTTTAACCTTTAACCAAAATTTCTAAGTTTCAAAGGGGCAAATAATTCTGCAAATATTGCAGGCAGAGTTATGCAATTTTGCAAACTGATATGCATTGTTACTATAAAAGATCGAGTATTTTAAATTTCAATTGAATATCTCAAGCAATAATTAAGATATTTGACTTTACAAAAAAAACTTTAACCAAAATTTCTAAGTTAAAAAGGGGCATAATTCTGTCAATATTGTAGGTAGAGTTTTCCAACTTGTCAATCTGATGTACCTTGTTACTATAAATAAGTATTGTAAGTTTCAATTGAATATCTCAAGCAGTAATTGAGATATTTGACTTTACAAAAAACTTTAACCAACGCAGACGCCGACGCGGACGCTGACGCCGACGCCGGGGCGACTAGAATAGCTCTCATATTCTTCGAATAGTCGAGCTAAAAATGGAAAAGACGCTTTTATAGATGGTGCTGTGGTTTTGAAGGTGATGCTTTGGTTTTGAAGGTGATGCTGTGGTTTTGAAGGTGATGCTGTGGTTTTGAAGGTGATGCTGTGGTTTTGATAAATGATATATATATATATCGTGCTGTGTTATTTACAAATGGTAATGCAAATTTTATATTTCGTGTTATCGTATTTCTATGTAGTGCAGTGGCTTTGATATATGGTAATGCCGTTTTGATATATGTTAACCGGTTTTACTGTCGATATTTGAGAGACCGGTGAGTATACAATGGATATTATGGTGATTTCGTTTCTATAAATGGTGATGCTTTTTCTGATATGTGGTTAATTATCTTTGGGATGAGCTGTTATGCAACCTGTGTTTACTCAATACAGTGCAGAGCGTTTTTGCAAACTCCATCAAAACTGCAATGAATCGCGGAAGAAAATGTCTATATATATCCACTTCGGTCAATATTTGCCCTGCCCCGGGGACCACTTGGTGAATATCGACTTACACAGGTTTAAGAGGTACCCCGAGGGGTACGCGGAGCGAGATTTAAGAAAAAACGGCGGGGACGGAGAACGGAAACACGCAGTTTAGCGGGGGCGCGAAACGTGGTTTTATAAATGTATAAAAACGACAGGGGCGCGGAGCAAAAATAAACACGCTAATTGGGGAATATAACAATACAACGATGATATAACTAATTCTCGACTTTCGCTTGGCGGGGTCGCTGGGCGAAAAGACGGTACATGGTACAGATCAGCCATCATTAGGTACTGTTATTATTTTTTTACCTTTAAAGCTGAAGAAACTGTTAAAATTACTTACAAACAATTGAGTATATCAGAAAGGAATATCAGCTTTAAATGTATGCATGAATTATGATTAGAAAAATGGAAATTTTTTAAAAGGCCATTGCGGCTAGGCATGAAGATATTATACCTAAAATGAGTAAAGATTCTTTATTTTTCCTGAGTATTGGCTTATTCAAAGAAATAATTGCTTTTATTATTTATCTATCAGGACTTTTTAGTTGGTTAATGTTTATTATTCTGGCGTAATTCTGTCAAATTAGTAATTAGCAGGGAAAACAGTTGCATTCCTAATATTTACTACTTATATAGGAGTTTACATTGTCATAAAATGTCAATACCCTGTGGTTATACATGTAAATTTTACTACAAGGTTCAATTATAGACTAACACATTAATATTGAATGCCAACATATTTCTATATTTGAATTACAATACGACCAAAACAAAGGAATGTACTTTATCTATAGACATGTGTTTAGGTAGTAATTAAGGAAGTTAATTAAAATGATGTGTACATGTTCTTTACGATAACATGTTTTATCTTGCTGAATAATGTTTTTCAAGTATGAAACCATGCTAAGGTTTAAGATAAGATGATATCATTGTATAAATTTTACTTGTCTTGCTCAAATTAACCTTATTAATCTTTCATATAGGGGTGAGAAAGGAAAAATGTTTCGTGTTATACAATACAATACAATATCTTTATTTTACCTAAGACATGCACAATATATACATGAAAAAAACATGAGGTAGATAATACAATAGATATTAATCGAGACCCAATCAATCATTAATCCACATGGAGAGATCGAAATTTTAACATCTTACAATTTTTTTATTAATTTTGGTATATTAACAATATTTCATACTTGGCATAAACGAAATGAAGCCATGCCAGTTTTCACCATTTTTATGAAGTAACTTTTTTATGTCTTATGTTATATTTTACACATAAATTGCACAAAGAATAGTCTCATCCTATCAAATAATGTTATTTTCTTAAAACAAAAACAAAACACACATGGCGCTACTCTGTAATTTATTAAGTGGAATATATTTTTTTTACGAAATTGTAGCCGCCATTTTGGAACACAGTATCACAAGCCTTGATTTAAAGCATGATATTGTTATTTTGGTACAAAATTATTAATATAAAAATAGGGCCACTCTATAGAAGTATACCTTAATAACAAATTGCATCAAATTAATATTAGATTTATTTATCATAAATGTCAATGATGCACAAAGGCAAACGGTATATTTTTTTTACGAAATTGTAGCCGCCATTTTGGAACACAGTATCACAAGCCTTGATTTAAAGCATGATTTTGTTATTTTGGTACAAAATTATAAATATAAAAATAGGGCCACTCTATAGAAGTATACCTTAATAACAAATTGCATCAGATTAATATTAGATTTATTTATCATAAATGTCAATGATGCTCAAAGGCAAACGGTATATGTTTTTTACGAAATTGTAGCCGCCATTTTTGAACTTGCATTAAAACTTGAAGAATCTTACAGATTACTTACACCTTGGGTAAACTAACAGAAAACAGATTCATAATTATGATACAATTCATCATATTATAATAATTTATAACAAAATAACAAAATTACTCACAGTTTATTTCCTCTCGTTGCAGCTCAACGGTACCGCCATATTTGTAAATCTCGTGAATTCTTTCCTCACAGACCTCCTTCCGTCACAGCGCCCCCTGCCGATTGTCAACACCGTCACGCTCTAGTACCGTTAAATACTACACAATATTTAACCTTTTTTTTACTGAAATGGAGACGATACTGGTTAGAATTTTAAATATAACTTGTTTATTTACTGTTTACTTTCCATTTAAACAACCTTGCAGTATCAATACATAAAATTTGATTGCTACTGAAGAGTTCACGTGACCCATTTTGGCGTGAAACAATTAATCTATGGAAGACCAATGATGTCAAATTACTCGTTAATCTTTTTTTTATTTATTTATTTTTTCTTTTGCCAGAGCCAACCAAATAAAAAAGAAGTTCCAGTATGATAGGAATAACCCTGAGGAGAGCGTTTTTTGCTAACATGAGAGATATTTTTGTGTTTAGAGCAGTCAGGCAATATGCTGACCCTGAGTCAAACCTCAAAGACAGGTTTCTTAGATTTGTCTCTGTTGATACCCATATTTAATTTGATCACATATTTTCACATATTAAAGAGGAGAAACTTTTTGATCACATCTTTTGTATGAGTGTTATAGGTTATGGGTAAAGCAAGTCTTTAATACAGTATAGGGCTTTTGACTAAGCAAAACTTCTTGGGAAAGATGTCAAAGCCAATGAAGCATTAAGTGACAACTGGTTTTATGGTTAATTAAAAAGGTGGCTTGATCTGATCTGAGAGTTAAGAAACTCAAAAGTTGTCATTTTTTCGTACCAAATCAACTTCAGCATAGTTTTCATATTGATGAAACAAGTGTTAATTCTGAACACACACCACCTAAAATTGTTTGTAGTAAGGTCATAGACTTTGACGATTATAGCCTATGGTAACGCCATAGGAAATTCAATATGAGAGAAAAAAAGGCCTTCCTGAAAAAGCCCAACACGACAAACTTGTAAATGTTGCAGGCTCGCTTTGATTGAGCCTGTTCATGGATGGTATTAAAATTGCAAGTTACCGGTCACGCCATTTAGCGCTGGCTTAAGCAGAATACATTAAACATTAAACATGAACTGATAAAGCTTTGAATTTTGGAACATCCGCAGATTTGTTCATATTGCGGTCACCATGGAACCTTCAATGTGATATGTTAGTGCGTCTTTCCTAAACCAGAAAACAATGGGCAAAACTAAACGGAGTTATGGTTCTTTTGCACTGCACTTCCTCTCAATGTGCTTGACCATTGTATGAAATGATATTGAATTCCAACCATTAGTCTTCTACTTATGGTCCGGACAAAAGAAAGCGATGAAAAAGTAACAAAGGGCAATAACTCTGTAATTACTTTAGATAGAGTTATAATTCTTGTGTACTGCACTTCCCCTTATTGTGCTTGACTATTGTATGAAGTTGTTTTGAATTCCAACCAGTAGTTTTCAAGTTATGCTCCGGACAAGGAAAAGTAACAAAGGGCAATAACTCTGTAATTAGTCAAGAAAGAGTTATGGCCCTTGTGCACTGCACTTTCTTTTAATGTGCTTGATCATTGTATGAAGTTGTATTGAATTCCAATCATTAGTCTTCAAGTTATGCTCCGGACACGGAAAATGCAACGGACCGCTGGACCGACCGACCGACCAACCGACCGACCACCGAGTGACTCCTATATACCCACCCCCCAAACTTCGTTTTGGGGGTATTATAAATGTGTACGTGAAATGATCATCCAGTACTTTAACGCAGAGAAAACAGATCAGGTGTACACAAAGTCGTCGGATACACTCCAAATAACTGAACCAAAAGTGGGTGTTTCGAACTGTGAAAAAATGTAGAGGAAGAAGGGATTAATGTAATTTGTCAAATAGAGTGTGAGGATAATTTAAATTCAATCAGTAAGAATACTTACAACATTTAGCACAGACAACAGACTTAAACATCTATGAATTTCTGCAGTTGATTAATTAGGACAATACAGAAATAAAACGACAACTTTCCAGCAATGAGTTATTTTCTAACAACAAATTCTCACAAATGAACGATGAAATTGTAGTTTTTAAAAAACACTTAACTGTATACCATTCATTCATTCCGAAATTTGGAAAAAATCATAAAGAAGAAAAGTGACAGAAAATCAGAGGTACAAAAAGAAAGCACAAGATACTTAATGGAATAATGGAAACATTAAAAATTACCAATGAAAAAGGTTATTCATCAAATAAAGCGAGAGTTCCTTTGACGAATAAGGAAATGCAAAGCGCCATCTCACAAACTGGCGCCATGTTACCAGCTTCAGTTGTATCACCGGCAGAATGTCTAGACAGGGAATTTACACAAGAAGACAGCAGCCAGGATATCACTATCGAGTCTTCTAATTCAACAATGAAGGAAAATTCTCCAAAATCTGGCATTTTTCCAAATAGGGACCAAACACTTCTAATCGGTGTCTCCGTCGTTAGAGGAATACAACCTAAAGGTTTAGATGATAAGGTCGATCGATATGTGTGCAGCGGGGACATTCTAACCAACTAGATTTTACACGATACAAACACGTCATTATTTTTGTCGGGGGAAATGACGTCAGTTCAGGAAAACGCCCTGATGCGTCACATTCAAAACTTTTAGAACTGACTCGCTCTATTCAACATCACAAATGTAAAGTGCATCTCTGCACGATTTCGCCGCGGCTCGACGCTGATGTTACATCATTCAACAAAAATGTGCGGGACATCTGTATCAAAACAGATGCTGAACTTAAAGACACATATTCATCGTTCGTTTACGGAGATGGTAGCATACTGAAGCACTAATTTGCTAGAGATTGGATACGTCACAATAAATATGGATCCAATATGGATCCAAGACACTTGTGGCAGCAATAAATAAGCGTGTATACATTATACAAAGAAAACTGAATTATGGTGAAATGTACGGAATGCCGTTAGGGCCATTGCCTATGAATGTGTTGATCTGAAACGCGATAGTCGATAGTACGATGGTGAAAACGCGAAATCACGAAACTACGATGGTGAAAACGCGAAAGTACGATGATGAAAACGCGACAGTACGATACTACGATGATGAAAACGCGATAAACTATCGTGTTTTCACCATCGTATTGTCGCGTTTTCACCATCGTAGTTTCGTGATTTCGCGTTTTCACCATCGTACTGTCGAGATACAATGGAACAGAAAACTCATGTGCAGGCATTCCGAGATACAGACAACATAATTTAAACAGACGTGAAAAGGTTGACAACTTTTCTAGACCTAGGTTCTATGACAAAACTTCATGGAGTCAGAGTTCACTTAATAGTACTGTTCGCCACACCTTTACCGGAAGTGTTTTTGCAAACAACCAATAGAGGTCTATGACATTTCAAATAAAACGCTCTTCTAAAAACTCGGGTATAAACAAGCTCAAATATTCAATGCAGGGAAATATTATGTTAGTGTAATTCTGTTTCATTGCTGGAATCTAACATCTATTTAGACCCTTATTTGGTGAAAAATCATTTGTTTGTTTGTTTGTTTTGGGTTTTACGTCACATCGACACAGTATAGGTCATATCGCGACGTTCCAGCTTTACTGGTGGAGGAAGACATCAGATGCCCTTCCGTGCATTATTTCAGGCACGAACGGGCACCTGAGTAGAACCACCGACGTTCCGTTAGCTAGCTGGATAGCTTCTTATGGACAGAAATAGACATTTTGCAATTATGAATGGGTCAGTTATGAGTTTACTGAAAACTTCTAATGAACAGTCTAAAAACAGTTTAACACTAAACTCACATGAAAGAATCCAAAGTCCCTGTCGGGATTCGAACCCACAGCGGTGAGGGGCAAGTGGTTTGAAGTCAACAACCTTAACCACTCGGCCACAGACGCCCCCGTTAAAAATCATGATAATTATAATGTTATAACTGTAAACATTAACGAACTTCTAGTCCAGTTATGCATATACTGTAATAAGATCAATTGTAAATGTAAATGTATTTTTGATATTCTTCGAGGAAAAGTTATTTGTAAAAAATAATTTCAACTTGTAATCTATTCTAAAAATTATTTCAATTATCTCAAATGATAGAATTGTACACAAATATCCTCAAATTATTCCCATTGTTGTGGAAATGTTATCATTTTCACCCTCGTTTACTTGCAGGCAAAATTTGCAATGGACTACTGCAATACTATATGGGGACAAAACTGCAAATCAGATACCGAAAATATATACAACATACAAAAGAGGGCACTTCAAGTAATTCTGAAACAACCAAAATCTGCTTACTTTTGAAAACAGATGCAATTGCCACATGGCCTTATTGGTTTTTTAAAGTTCGCGTAATCTGGCACCAAAATATATATCGGAAATACTAGTTTTTTCTAGTAATGATAAATATAGTATTCGCTCTTCAGCGAATAAAAATCTTATTCATTTCAGGACACGGACAAATTATATGAAACTAACATTTACATACAAAGCGGCACATTAACGGAATACATTTCCAACTGACATAAAACTACAAAGTAAATTGCCATCTTTTAAGGGTAAACTAAAGGATTATTTATCAAAAATACCACTTAAAAAGCGCTAAAAACTGATTGTTTAACAGAAATTATATAGATCTCATCTTTTTGTGTTTTTGTTTTCGTTATGAAATGATTATGTAATTCGTTGCTATGCGAAGTTTGATTAAAAATGTTCCAAACGTTATGAGTGTATAATCACAACAGTAATGTTATGTTATTTTGTAAATAGTTTGTCGAAAGTTATATTGCTGTTTTATTGACTTATATTCTTTACTGTTCTACATATATGTTAGAAGAATATGGAAAAAATTGATGTTATATCTACTCTTAATATGTACTTCTCAAAAAAGTTATTATTATTATTATTATTATTATTATTATATTATATTATTAGCAATTCGTTGCATGATTGCTATCTGTTGACTTACTAAATTTTCTGCCAGACTACTTTGTGCATACCTTAAACTAGTTATTCGTTCTTACACTTAAATTGATATATTTCCTCTACTTTTTCTGTGTTCTCTTTTGTTGACTTTCTGTTAAACGACTTATGCTGATGACTACTTCTTCTGCTGCTTACAACATTTCAGATACAAATTTCCAAAAGTTATATTTATAATTCACAAAAATGTTATGTATTTTGTAAGAGTGTTTGTCGAAATTATATTG